TTTTTTTAGTTAGTCAAAATAAGTTACTTGTTACTTGAAACACAAGGAATTGGTGTTCTTTCCCCTTTAAATCCATCTTCAGCTGGTATCATTTGTTAGGAGTCCCCTTCGGCTGGTCTCTTTTCTTTGTAAGTTCCCCTTCGATCAACGTTCTATTCAGATTCAATGTCTATTTGTATCCCCAATAAGTTCGCCTTCGATTGGAGTTTTTAGAGCCTTCTTCGATCGGTCTCTTTCTTGTATATGTCTAAATCTGGCCTGACATATATCTCCATTATCTTTGTTAAGATTCTACCTTCGACTAATCTTCTTTTTATTGTGGAATCTACCTTCGGCTTAGCCTCCTTTTGATTCACCTTTGTGCAGGAATCCTTTGTTAAGAGTCTACTTTAGTCGGTCTCTTTCTTATATGTGTCTAACTCTGACCAGACACGTATATTTTATCCCTAGTTCGCCTTCAATCAAAGTTCTTTCTCCAGGAGTCTATTTGCGGTTAGCATTCCTTGTTGGAGCCTTCTTCAGTCGGTCTCTTCCTTGTTTGTATATGTCTAATTTTACCTGGAATTTATCTAATATCTTCCTTATGCCCGCTACCGACTTCGTGCATGTTTATTCGATATCTGACATATGTGTCCTTTCCTCCGAATATATATTTGTGACATCTTTGTTAAGAGCCTGCCTCTGGCTAGTCTCTTATATCTGTATGTCTTCCCTTGGCCTGGCATACATTCAATTCTCGAGTTTTCAATTTGGTTTCTTCTTCGACTCCTGAATCACGAGTTTTCCAATTTGATTCTTCTCTGGTCTCTGAATCGCGAGTCTGTTAATGAGTTTCTTCTCTGATCCCTGAATCATGAGTTTGCTAATGTGTTTCTTCTCCGAATTCTGAGTCACGAGTTTATAACCCCGATTTGCAGATGATTATCATATACAATTTCTCAATAGTCGTTTGTTCAACTTCTGTTCATCTTTTCTGGTGTCTTTCGTTCTTGAATCTTCACCATGTCTGTTTGTTGTATTATACACAAGAAGTGTTATTCTTCAGCAGAGTTCGTATTTACCTTTTGTGAGTATGCTTAGTTAAGCATCATGTCCATATTTCGTTCACCTTGGTAGATAGGAAACATAGCTTCTTTTTCCTCTGAGGAAATCCTTCAGGAATATCAAACCATTACCTGCCGAAACTTATTAGTGGAGGCATCTAATGAATAAAATCATAAGTATTTCTACCTGTTCTTCATAGTGCAAATTTTTAGGTTCTTTTAGTATTTAATCTTCTTCTACCTTGAATGTTCGAAAGGCTAGCGCCAATCTTCATTCAGGTTGAAGACGATTAAATAGGGGAAGTTGTTGCACCCAAAATTTTTCCCTTTTAATATCTTTTATCTGGCTTAGCCTTTTGCATTCATCTGCATATATTCCATTAGGTCATTAACATAACGTTTCATTGAATAAAGAACACGAGGTTCAAAGTTCAGTGTTCGGGCAATATTAGGGTTTTATAGTGGTTAAGGCGTTCATGTCCAATAAAAGATGATTTCTTTTAAGTCTTCTAGTTCTTTTTCAAGTCGTGAAGTGTAGAATTATGGTTGTGATCCATAGTTGATGTGGATTCCTTATTCATCAAGCTTCAAGGGCTATTATCCATTCAATTTTATCAATTCTAGAGATTAGGGTTTACTTCCCTTAACCAGGTAAAGAGGATCATGGTTTCTCTTCATTTTGTTCGAGCTTGGTAGTGGTTCTTCAATAGAGGTTTATTGGACTAAAGTCTCACTGCAAGGCTATATTGAGCACTACTATTCCCTTATTGAAGGTTCATCGTCATCTAAGGTTTTCGTCCTTTATAAGTCAACTTATTTCAAATATGCTTAAGGGATTAAATCAAAGTTTTCTTCTTTGACAAGCGATTAAGGATTGATTTGAGTTTTTATCAAGTCTAGATATGTCTTTTTGGTTAAGCTATGGGTTAGGTGCTCATTCAGTTCATTTTATAAAATGGAAGTTGGTTTATTCAAATGCAAGACGACTTGAATTTATGGATTCAATTGAGATTTAGGTTCATTGATTAAACACGGTATGGAAGTATACTGAATTCATTTTCTTACTGAGCATTCATTCAAGGGCTCGTATGTGTTATTAATTCCGTTGTCAAATAATAAAGAAGCATAATTCAAAGTATCGGTTTATGAATCCCTTATGGATGATTCAAGCATGTAGATTGGAAAGTCCATTTATATGGATAGGTTCTACATGCAAAACATTCAAGTGGATCAATATTTTAAGATTTCAAGATTCATTTGTAATTGTAATATGATGGGAGAACTGACTTGGGTGTTTTGCATTTTATCGCAATTGTTTCAGATAGCAAGAGTCGCCATCGGCTTTTCTTTTATCTAATAAAGGAAAGGGTGAAAAGAACAGGAAAGACCTTTTTAGAATTTTCTTTAGTACAGGGGGTAGGTTATGAAAAGGGAAGGTGTTAGAACCCTTTCCATCTGTAGTTATCTACGGGCTCTTAATTGCTTGATCACTTTGAAAATGCTTTATGTTTATGTAAGTTTTGAAAATATTTTAAAAACGCCTTCGTACGGAAAACTTTGTAATGATTCTCGTATGGTAAAGAATGTATACAAATTATTTGTTTTGAAAATATTTGTTGTTTGGAAAGTGTTTGAAAGAGGTTTTTGAAAGTGTGGGGTATGCAGATTATTTTGATTTATGAGCAAGAAATTATGAGCAATTTATCGACTCGAAAGGTCTTTGTTATTTTTCATCTTCCTTTAGATAGTGTTATCCCACCATTAGTTAGTAGGTAGCCCTATCCATGGATGTTAGGGACAGGCGTGGGCCATCGTACAGTCATAAAAGGAAACTTGTGAGATGCTTTAGAAATTTTCGTAACTGACTAAGATCGTTTTACCGAAGGCAACATCGAAGGGTCATCGAGAGACCACGATTTTTTTATCGAGGGGCTTTGCTAAAGAGCTCCATATTCGAGGGACATGACTGTTTTTCCGAGGCAACAGGCGAGGTTACCCTAGAGGTGCGCGTGTGAAAGGTGTGTTTGATTCAAGTTAATTTAGCTTACATTTAGGGTTATCTATCATTTGATTTTAGATCTTATCATACATGCCTAATTACTATATAGTAATAAAAGAAAACAGTAAATTGCAGAAATTAAAGTTCTATGCTATTACAAAACTTTCGGAAATGGCGGTACAAATTTGTGAATGAGTATGAAGTAAATGCCTCAATAAACTATTACAAATCGTAAATATTTACAATAATTGAAAGAATCCGAAAACAATAAATTACATAAAAAGGAAAGGGGAAATTGTTTTGTGATTTTATCAAATAAAAAAATTAAATCAACTAAAAGCTATGGACAAAAATTCAAGAATTCTAAATAATATTTTTGGTATTTTTGTTTTGTTAGTGACTTGGTGAATTATGTACAATATATATTGTGAATTATTTACAAGATAGCGAGATTGTATCAGAGAGAATCATAATGTGTACAAATTTAGTGATTAGTGATTACCCTAACTAACTTAATTATATTACTAAATGAGTTATTTACTAATAAAATAAAGTACTCTAATAAAATTTGGTTAACTTAATAAAACTAATAATGAAACAATTTTTTTGTATTTTGTACTTTTGTTGTAATTAACTATTTGTTTGAAAATAAAATAAAAACCTATTCTATTTAAAGAAAATAAAATGATTGATTAAAATAAAATAAAATAAAATAAATTATATTTTAGGTTTTTTTATATAAGAAAGTTAAAATAATTAACAAAACAGGGGGGTGCAAGCAGAATTTCAGACGGGCTAGAAGGTTGAAGCCTAATACTAAAACTAACAAGACAAGAAAGAAAAGAGAAAAAATGAAATGAGGTGTTGGGTGGTGGACCGGAACCGGTCTCGGGTCAGGCCCAAAAATAGAAAACCCTAGATGCTGCTCGGAAGGGTGTAGCCGCTCTCTTATGCTTTTTAACGAGAAATAAAAAAAACAAAACAATGATATCTCCTCTGTCCTCACGCTCAAAAATAAAACCTTTCTCCATTCCAATTTTTTAACTGATTTCCAATCTCTCTCTATTCATCTTTCTTTATCCAAAACAACAACAACAATATTTCTTTTTCATCGCTCAAACAGTACTACCCTTCCTCTCCCGAAAACTCTTCGCCTCTCTCTCTCAATGTGTTTTATTTTCTAAGTTATATTAAGATAGAAAAAAAATCACAAACAAACATAAAAGTGCAGATTTATTATCTCTTGAAGACAAAGAGGAAGAAGGAAGAACAATCCGATGACGCATGGTGGTGCGCTTTTGAGGTGAAGGCACGACCATCATTTTATGTGCGATGGTTGATGGAAAGTTTATAGGGAGGTTTGAGAGTGAGGTTGGGGCTTATGGATTTTGAGGCGTTGCTCGCGGTTTCGTTGGAGCTTGTGGCTGCTACAAGTTTGTGTATGGAGTCTTTACTTCTCTTTATGTTGTTCTTCTCCTTATTTGATGTATTTGACAACGTAAATTATTTTGTTGGTGTAAGCAAATTTTATAGAGTTTTAGTGAAGATGAAACAAAATTTGTGTTGTTTCTTGTGTCTTAACAGAAGTTTTTTTTGAGGTGTTTTTGTGTACATGGAGGTTTGAGAGTGAGGTTGGGGCTTAGTTAAGGGGTCTGTAAATTTGAGTTACATGGTAGGGGTGCGTGTGAAGATGAATGGAGCAGGGAGTTGGATTGTTTTTCGGTTGAAGGTGAGCTCTGGGGATTAAGGAGATGTTTGTAGTGATTTTCAGATGGGTGTGAAGAGATTGAAACTTTGTGATTTTAGTGTAAGAGTAGAAATTGGAGGTTGTCTTAGAGTCGTTGTCTCCTTTTTTTCTGTGTGTTTGTTGGTTTCTTTATAGTGAATAGGAATGGATTTTGGGGGGAGAAAATGATAAGTTTGAACAATTTCGGTTATGTCTTTTTTTTGTTTTTCTAATGCAGGCATTGTCTTGCCATTTTTGTGAAATTTTTTTATATGTTTTTGGACTGTTGTTGCAGGTTTGGGACTGTATATGGCAGTTTAACAATGGACAGTGGGAGGTTTTATGGACTTCTTTGCCACTTTTTATTACAGATTTTGTGTTTTGCCTAATTTATGCAACTCTTGGCATTTTTTCGACAACATCTGTGGACTGTTTTGACAGGTTTTCCTCTGGTTTTTACAGGCTGTTTTGTAGTGGATAGCAGAGCAGCAATAATGATTTTACATAGCAGGCCTTTGGACTAGTTTAAACACTAGCATAGTTCTGGTGGGTTGGTGCTGCAGCAAATGAGCCATGTTTTGTGAAGCAAGAAAAAAAAGAACTAGAGCAAAGATGGACTTGAAGTTTTAGGTTTGAAGATTAGGATTTAGGTTCCATGAACTTTTGATGTAACTGACTTTTGAATTTCGTCAAACAAAAGGTGATAGTGATGTAATAGATTAAGGTAGAGACTTGAATAATTATTTGCAATGCCCTTGAACTTGTAATGTATTGGTACTTTTTGCAATTATATTTGATGGTTTTGTATGAACTAGGAATTTTTGTGTTGAATATTTGAATGAAAAAGTGGTGGTATCAGTTTTCTTATTGGAGTAGTGTTGTTGTTAGTTTGAACAAACGAATTGGGTGAAAGAATGCGTGAGCTGGAAAAATACCAAAACGTTAAGCTGGTCTATTCAAAAAAAGCATCTTCTATTTTGGTAATGTTTTTCTTTTGAATTTTTGCATTCACATAAGTTTCGGTTTGGCTTAATAAATCAAATCCTAAACTGTCACGCCTATATGCTGCAGCACTGTAACATATCCTCACACAAAGTTTAACGTGAAATAACTTTCCCATATTGCAATGTTAATACAACTTTAGGTAGTTGTCATAAAGAGCTTGTATCTTGGTGTACAAATATTCAATTGACACAAGGATAGTATCAAATGAAAGAGGGAGTGGAAGGGAATAAAGTTGGTGTTGTAGACCTCTAGAAAAAAATGGTCGAATCTCCATGTAATTTGGCCTATATCCAAAGTCAACTTAAATCTCTCATGAATTGAATCCAAACCAATCACATTCCATACTTGGATCTTGAGAAAATCCTAATAAGAATGCTTGGATTCCATGCTCGCAACATCTTGAGTTTGAAATAAAACTTGTAACTTTTGAAACTTAGATTAGAAAATTAATACGAGAAACTTGAATAATGAATGAATTTGAAGATTGGTATTTGAAACTTGGTCATAAAGATACTTTGAATGAATCTTAAATGAAACAAGTGATTTTTATGAATGAAAATACTTGACTCTTGATAAATCTTTGAATTAGGCCAAGATAATTGTTTAGAATTTGTTATGATAATGCATCAATTTAAATAGGAACTTGAATGAAATTGTTTGGAATATTTGATTCCATGAACCCATAATCAAATTGAATCAATAGATGACCATGTGTACAATTTTTTGAATCTTAACAAAACCATACACAAAACCCTAATTAGGAAGGAAGAGACATATGAAACCTCACCTTGTAGCTTAACGAATCACTAACTTTAATTCTTCAAATTCAAGTTAACTCGAAAATGAAGTAAACAAGTTATTTGATGAGAACCAAAATTATATAGACCAAAGTGAATTAGAAATGGTACTTCAACCCGCAATAATCAAAAATGTCTTCATGAATTTAAATTAGAAGCCAAACCTTTTTTAAGTCAAGAATTGACCTATAATGTTTCGAAAAGTTTCAAAACCTTCTAAACACAATTTGACTCTGATATTTAAAGAAAACTTGTAGATGACATTCCTTATGACAATATGAAAAAATAATCGTCTCAAGATCTTGAAAATTGAGGAAATTAGGATTCTTGGAAGTCAGGCGAAAATTACTTGAGATTAGGTCAAAGTCCAAAAAGGGACCTCTAAAGTATTCAAACTTTTCGTGATCTTACACACATAATTAGCCCTTGACTTTTAAAGTTAAGTTGGAGATGGCGTCAAGGAGAGTCATACGCAAAAAGAGCCACTCAAAAATATTGAATAATGAAAAATTTACGACCGTTTGAACCATTGACTGAGCAGACTTGTGATGTAAGGCTTGAAATTTGATATGAGCATTCCTGAATACATATGAAGCACCATGAAAACCACTTGACACCTTGGAAACCCAATCTTTCTTGAGAAATACCAAACCCTAGTTGTGGACCCAATGCTTAGGAGGAGAATTTGTGTGATCAATTATTGAGCCATCTTGAGCATTTGAGAAACCCTAGGAGAATATCTTGAATGAAAAATGAGAGGGAAAAGTTTGGAGTACAATAGCTGACCCTGTCCAATCTTCTTAAACCTGAAGAGTTAGATTGACATGTTCACTATGATACGGTGGAAAAACCGATTGTTTTTACTGGTTTGCATTTTGCGCTTTTTGTTTGCGAAATGTCGCGGTAAGCAAGAGTCGTCACCGACTTTTATTTTATCCAATCATGGAAAAGGAAAAAGAACAGAAAAACCTTTTTTCGAGATATTCTGAGTACGGGGGGTAGATTATAGAAAGGGTAGGTGTTAGCACCCTTTCTATCCGTAGTTATCTATGGGCTCTTAGGTACTTGCTCATTTTTCCAATTGCTTGGGTGTGTTTGTCTTGAAAATGTTTTACTCCGTGATAACTCTTGTATCAGTCCTCAAGGATGTGACGGAGTTTATTTTGAAAATTTGTTTTGAAAGGTGTTTGCGTGAAAAGTTTTTTATTGAGCAAGTGCTTAAGATTCTACCTACTCAAAAAAAAGATTGTTCCTTCTCGTTTCCTTTAGACAGCGCTATCCTACTATTAAGGAGTAGGTAGCACTGTCGTTGGAGTTGTAAGGGACATTCGAAAGGGACAAGTACAATCACTAAAGCAATAGTTAGGAAACTTTAGTATTAACCCAAGAGTCTTAAGATCTTTCCGAGGCAACATTCCAATGGGACATTTGATCTCTTAGACAGGAGGGTAACCACTAAAATCTCCTATGCTTAATGATTGTTTACCGAAGGGAACCGAAGTGAGGTAAACCCTAGGAGCGAATATGTGCATATGATTTGTTTCAGTTATTTAGTCTTTGCACATTAAGTGATCTACCGTTTTAATTTCAGATATTCTTGCCATACAATCCTATTAACATACATCTAGACAGTTAAATATTTGAAGGAATTAAAAATGCAAAAAAATAAACCTAGCTATTACAAGGCTTAGGGGGATGGGTATTAATTACATAACCAAAGAATCGGGGATTAAAGCGGTAAATAAAACCCTAATTTAACTATTACAAACCATTGGCAGTTACAAAAATAATGGAAAAGAAATAATTAAATGCGCGGCGAATTAAATACGGGGAGAAATTGAAAACCCTAAAATCTAATTGAGAAATAATTAAGTTATTTTTTAGAAAAGAATTAATTGAGTTATGTACGACTAAAACCCTGATTCTAATTATTTTAATTATGAAAAAAGAAATAGAAATTAACATAATCTAGCTAAATTAAATAATTTCAAGAAAATAAAATATTTTATACAAAAAGATTTTGTGTGTTTTTTGGTTTTTTATTTGAGAAAAGAAATGTATTTTCAAATTAATTAAAAACCCTAATTTCTAATTGCTTTTAATTATAAAAAAGAAATTAACTTAACCTATATTTCTAATTAAATTAAAATATGTATTTTATTAAAAAAATGATTTTTTGGTGTTTTGTGATTTATTGATTTTATGATTAATAAAAAAGGTAATTAATTTGGTGAAAAATAATTAAACAAAATAATTAAAATAAAAGAAATAAATAAAGAAAAAGAATATGGGCCTGTGTTGAATAGAAATTCTGGGGGTGTCAATCTGAAATTTTTATGGCCCAAAATGCTCCCAGCCCAGTCAATATTGGATTCTGTGTAGCGTTGACTTGAACGTGTACCATGGTCCCTCATGGATGGAGCGTTAGATCTGATGGCATGCTTGATCAAACGGCTGGACGCAGGGATATATGGAAGACGCTTGACAAGGTGGTGTATGGAATCTGCAAGCACAAAGTTAGAAAATAAAATTTGTTGGGACCTGGGATCGAACCCAGGTCCTCCCACCCAATACCAAGCGCTTTTACCATTGAGCCATCTGCTTTGTATTGTTAGTAATTCAAGAATAAAACATAATATATAAAAACGTGGTTAACTGAACAAAAACTGCGCGAGATTCAAACGGGCGAATGGTTGGCTGACACATAGCCGTCTTCCACCTTTCTTCATCGTTTTAGGCATATAACTTTTACCTACAGTCACATGTTCGTAGCCATAGCCCCTGCAAATTTCCAAAATGCACAAGACACACGATAAATGATTTCTAACTATATAGATCCATTCCTTTTGATCTCGTGAACCTCATGGTATCCTTCGTTTTGGCTAATTTCACCTGTGTAAGAAATCCCTAAGTTGCACACGCAAACCCTAACAATGGCAAAGGCATGTATAGGCTTCAAAAACGCAATTAAATTATTCAGTTAGCTTGCAAACATGATGAGGATCACAAATATATAACTTAAACATGCTAATGATACAAGAAATACAGTAATCGATTTTGAAAATATGGGCAAACCGTGAGAGTGATTGTGCACGTTTCTGGGTGTTTCAAGTCTTGCAAATGATCCAATTGGCTTCTTGGAAGGTCTAGGAAATGATTGGAAGCGTTGGAATGACTTGAATTGGCCTGTGGAGTGAAAACCGATCCACACTTTTCCTTGATTTTTTTTGAATTTGCTCTGCCTCTTTCACTATTGCTAACCCTTGTTTTTGCTTTGTTCTTGTCTAATATCTACCCAGGGATGAATTAGGGTTACAAACTTGGATTGAATCTTGAAGTTTGATGAGATTTGATTTGATTCTTTAGCCATATGAAAACTTGCTATTTTGAGCCAAATCTCCCCTTTCTTGTACCAATTATGCTTGATTCGTTTTGGCCTTGATATCCAGCATATTTTGTTTGCCAACCTATCCAAAAACAAAATCATATCATATTTTTGCTATTATTCACCAATTATTTGATTTAATTCAATTTTTAATTAATAAAAAATCAAAATAAATTGAAAAATGAAGAAAATAATGTGTGGATGAATATTTGAGTCGTGGACCACATCATAAGTGAGGTTCAAGCATAAAAAGTTAGGCCCATTTAGCAAAAAATGCATTTTTGAGCACATTTG